ATTATATATATATATAACTTGTTACAACATGTTAATAATACAATAAAAATCGACAGGAGTTAATATATATATTTTATACGTGACACTGGTTAATGTAGATGATCAACCTCTAACGTGTCTAATCTTTACGACGACGCATGCGAACCCAAATCGTACTCATCTCCATTACGTCGCATAGCATCGTAAACACACAGTATAAGAGGTACACAGGCGTATACAGAACAAGCACGCGTCACCTTTTTTTGGCACTATGCCAGATAAAAACCTCACATTACATAATAGCAGCGCGTGCGAGTCAGTCGAGTCTACCTTGCGGATTTCCTACGAAAGGATACAGGGGCGGACACGACTCGGCGCACGTCGATACGAAACGTTCACCGGGATGGTCGAACGAGTTGGGCGGCAGCGTGACGTTTAAGTAGACGCACGTGTTGATCTGTCGGCACGTCGACGGCTCGTCCCGGTCGCACCGCCACGGCGCGAAGTCCTGAATGTCGGCCAATTTCGTCGGTTGCTTCATCCAGTCCACCGCCTGGCTGATCGTCACGAAGAAGACGTCTTTCATCAGCAAGAGTTCGTCGAGGAATTCTTCTAATGCTTCGATGTTGTAGTGGGCCTCTTCGAACCACCGTGCGCGCAGGTAAACGGGAAAGGGTGCCTTATTCGTCAGATAGTGCCTCGCGAAGTTGTATCGCAGGAGGTCCAGCGCTTCCTTCTTGTTAGCGGGGAACTCGCAACTGTCTACGTTGTTGCAGAATTCGCCCGTTTTGTCGATGTAGTCAACCATCGGTATCTCCCAGAGTCCCGGGTAGCTGGCGTGGGGGCAGGGCTCGATGACGCAGCCATGTTCCGCCTGGTAGTCGAGAGTGAACGGCCAAAGAGGAGGATCGGATAGCTGAGTTGGCATGCTGTTGTCCCACTTGAAGCCGTGCTGCTGAAGCATATAGAACTGATCGTCGCCTCCTACCTGTAACAGAAAATGTGCGCGCATAATGTGCACGCATAAACGATACCATGATATATATATATATATATATGTGGGTGTGTGTGTGTTCGTGCGTGCGCGCGTGCGTGCGTGCGTGCGTGCGTGCGTATGTGTGTGTGTATGTGTGTGTGTGTGTGTGTGTGTGTGTGTGCGCGCGCGCGCGTGTGTGTGTGTGT